CACACACACACACACACACACACACACACACACACACACACACACACGTATATAGGTCCATGCATGCACAAATACAGACTGTTTACCTCGGTGAGAGACAGCTGAATGAGACAAACAGCTACAGTAAACACAGGATAGGATGTCCACCACAAACTATAAATGAAAAAGAGCAGATATAGCTTAGTGTGTGTGTGTGTGTGTGTGTGTGTGTGTGTGTATAGATGTTTGTGTATGCACTGCATTACATGGTACTCCCATGTCAGTGGTAGAGTAATGGAGGAAAAAGTCAAAAGGAGGAAGCAGCTTTGTTTTATCCGTGCGTGTGTCAGTGCATGTGTGTGGGTGTATGGGACCAAGGGACTGAGCAGCATTCGTCATGCTACTGCTGCTGTATAACGTGTTCGCACAGCACAAAATGAATCGGAGCTCTTTAGCCTTTTGTGCAGAATGTGGACACACACTCGCAGCAACAACTGAGGCTTCATTGTGATATTTCTACCCTGAACACTGATCGGCTCAATGAGAGTTAAAGAGTTGTATATAAACTGTTCCTGATACATCTGTGAGTCTCAGGCTCCTCCGCACTTCCTTTTCTGAGACAGTGTAAAAGATGGAAAAGGGTTGTCCAAATAATAAATAATAAAAACTGTCAATCTTTTTCTGTCCCTTTCCAATGATCCATCACTTGTTCAGCATTTCCATGGCAACGGCACCGAGTACCACTCTGCGTTCTGTACGTAGACGCCCGTGTCCTTTTCCAGGAGCCTTCATGCATCGATCCAAAGTATTTCCATTTTCTCCATCTGTCACTTACATCACATCACACGCATCCTCCGTGCTAAAGAGCCTCATGGTCCACATCCCTTTAAGTCTCCTGTTACAGCGAGGTCACAAGCCATTTACCATCACATCTGCACAAGAGGAACCTGAGATGACCCCTGCTCACTGAATCATCACTCTCCTGCTTCTACTCGCACTGAACTTACTTACTCCTATTTTAGGTCTTTTCTCAATAGACTCTCTCAAGCATGATGGCATGAACCCCCACATTCCTTTGGGTTATTTGTAATGATAACCGGGAAAGCTAAACTCATTGAAAGTTATTGGTAATAGAAAATAATAAAGGCAAATGACAAAACATGTGGAAAAGACAAATAACAGAGAGAGAGAACCCCCCCCCCCCTCCCAAAGGGATTGTGTAAAACAAGTCAACAATTGGACTAGCTGACCATAAGATCTATATAATGACTCCAAAGAACATAAAAGAACCTCTTTCTATGCCTTTGGCACCGTTGAAAGGAATACAGAGGTGTTGCAAATGCATTATTTTCCTCCCATACCTCTCCTCTCCTCTCCTCTCCTCCTTCTCTCGCTCCCTACATCCGTACCACTGAGGAGAGTGTGCTGCTTGTTCAGTCACACTGCATTATGGGCAGTGGAGACATTGGATAACTGTGACATTATAAAAACCAAACTGTGTAAGGCCAATGAATCGTGTGTGTATGTGTGATGCCATTCACCCGCTCGGCTGCCTTTTATTTCTGTCTGACCGCAGGCTCGTAAAAACACATTCTGGCACCAGCAGCTAAAGGCCTCAGCCCACGCCTCAGGTACTAAGGTTTCACTCATTCTTCCCCTCAAAATCCCTCCCTTTCTCTCTCCCTCTGCCTCCATGACTGTCTGCTCCCCGTCTCCATACCAACTCCTTTCCACTCTTCTTTTCACTGGACCAAACTGCGTGCCTGGCTCCTCCAATTATAAGCCCCTCCCTCGCTTCCTTTATCTCTCTCCGTCCGACTTTATTTTACACTTGATTTAAGGGCCCGAGCATTCATCTGCTCAAACTGCAGCGGCGGGCTCGGGTCTTGAGGAGAAACAGTACGCAACGCAGCTGTTAAGATTCTCTCAACAGCCATGACAGCATAAATAGCATCACAAATACTTAAGACTTTTAATTAGGTTTTTACTGCTTTTTACAGCTGCATAGAAGTAAAATGT